TAATTGATGGAAGGGAATCTTGCTGATTGCATAGCAAGATTAAGGGACTCTAGGTTCTATGGTCCAGACTTCATAAGAGACAAAGTTATAGGGCTGTATAAAATTTTTCTGTCTTTTCCCTTTGCCTGTCTTGTTTCGATCTATGACATTCTAAGTGTACCTAAATGTTTAGCAGTCATAGTTTGATGGTTCTTCTGCTGAATCAGAAATCAGAGCTGCTACAGTCTGTTGATTCCTGTGTTGATGGTCTAAGGCCGTTTTTCTGGAAAAGTTCTTGGATGCTCAGGGAAACAGATGTAGGCATTGCTGTGGTTTAGGTAACTGTTTTTAAGTCTAATGCCCAGTGGAGGTGGAAATTAACAGCTGCAGAACATTCTGTGTGTTGAGAAAGATTATTGAAAATTATCCCAGATCAGGAAGATTCGGAAGAGCAACGGGGAAGTACAACTGGCCGATTTTTACTGGAGTAGCGTAGCTACAGTCTACTGTGTTTTTACAATTCAGAGCAATGACTCGATCTAGATTAAAAAAAAAATCGTAAACTCAGTTTAACATACTGTGAGGTAGTTTCTAGAGAAGTATGTTACTTTATGCGGTCTTTTGCTTTTCATTAGGACTGAGAGGATGTCTTATGTACTAGAAGAACCAAATTTTACTTAGAATTTTTTCTTATATCTGGGGTTCTTCATCTTGTCTTTATTAACTTCCAGTGTCATTGTCATCTAGTACTTATGTGGCATGGATGTTTGCTGGATAGTGCTTTTCTGCACTGAACAATCAAATGAGTTGGAAGATGCCCGTGGAGTCCTTCAGTTTGTAACTGTGGAATAGAACAAAACTTGTTTTGTTTCTTTTATTTTCTTTCCTTCTTTCAACCTATTCAAGATGTGCTTACATTCTAGCTCCATTTTGAAAACAGCTTAGCTCCACTCTGAATTCCTTTTTTGTCCATAGATGAAGCTGCTAGATGTTTTATGACAATTGCTGACTGGCTAATAACCATAGGAACACAAGAATAAATTTAAATTTACTATCTGAAAAAGTATCATTAACCAGCCATTTTAATGTTTGGCCAAGATTAAGCATCTGTGTAAAGTGTTAATCATCTACACTGCATTTTAGACTGCTTTTTTTCCTTCTGAAATGTTATGAGCGGAGAACATAATTTCTTTAAGCCAATTGGGTGCTTTAGAACTAGTTTGAAGACTGGCTTTGCAGTTATGTAAAGTTTGTAAAATTACAAACACAGCATAGTATTCTATAATAACTAGTTTGAGATGACTGTAATGCCTAGTTCAGTGGTTAAAGGATTTAGCTCACTATAAGATAATTGATATCCACCTTCAAACTGAACTGTAACAAGATGGAAAATCAGAAAGCTGTGGATTTCATCTTACTGCTTTAGGGCAGTTAGACTATCAAGCAAAGGATACTTCTGTATATATTTTAGTACCAGAATATGATTAACATGTGATGGTAAGATCAGTTCTACTGCCCAGACCCCTGCAGTATACTTTTCAGATTATGAAGACATATATCTTAAACAGTAATGGTTTATTTATTTTATTCGGTCTAACGAATTTTGTGGTCTTTTAGCTTTAAATTGAAATGGTGTAGTAGAACACATGAAACTAATTCCTCATGATAAGGAGTAATGTAGACTCAGCTATGTGTATCAGCACAGCTACTAGTAAACTATGTGAATATTTTATATCCTATATGTAATGGCATATATTTTGTGCTGATTGCGTCTTGTTCCCAAATATTTTTTCTTTTTCTCATACATAATTTTTACTTATCCTAAGCTTCTATTTTATTCAAAAGCATTTTAGAAACAGACATGTGAAAAAATACCAGAGCAAGGATACCCCAAAATTATACTGGATCAAGGATTGTATTTGATATATTTGCTGTTAAAAAAATTTAAAAAATAAATGGTGGGGAATACGTTCTTTTATTTATTTCCTCTGTTGAACTCCTCCTGTACCTTTAATGCGGGCCTAAAAGAAAGCTACTCCACTAGGCTTTTTAACTGTAGCGTTTTCTTTTCACTTCCATAGGCATGTAGTCAGTTGTGGAAGAAAGAGAGGCTATGACACAGCTTTCTTTTATTTGCTTCTCTTCAAGATTTTGCATGTCACAGGCACCAGATGTTTTCGTTTGCAGCTTTACCGTGTTCTACTTTTCAGCATGGCATTAGGCAGAAACTGAAATGGAAAGTTGTGAGAGGGAAGGGTGATGAAAGAGGTGGTTAACGTTGACATAAAATTGAACTTCTTACAGAGATAAAATATAAATTAATTTATCATTTACTCAGCATTAGATTGGAAACCATTTTATATTTTAACAGCACAAAGTCATATTATATAACACCACCAAAATACCACACTTAGAAGTTGTGAAAGTAATTTTTTCTAATATTCGTTTTGGTTTTATGGTTATGAGGTATATGCTTACAATCATGCGACATGGACCCATGAAAGAGAACTGATTTTTCACTTGGAGTTGCACAGAGCATCTAATATGTATTTGAATATTTGATGTAGTAAGACAAAGGGCATCACTAAAATTCTTGAGGAAATTTAGTAAAAAGTAGATAACTCAGTAGCTAAACCTGCTATATACTTTAAGAGGTAGAAAAAATTTAAAACTGGAACATGCAGTTTCTGGCTTTTTTTGTTAATCTGTCAGTGTAACTTTGACAGAAATATCCTGCCGTTTTTAGCAGCATGTCCTCTTGCTTGCTTATTATTGGTTAGCTGTGGCAGAGTGGTGTGTTTTTGAGAAAATTAACCTTTCTTAAAACACTATGATAACATACTGTGATTTATGCTGTACACCCAGGCCTATTGAGGTGTAGGTCTCATGTAGGCAAGTTTCCTCTGGCCATTGTCTAGTATATTTTTTGTTCTCAAGTGAGCTGAATTTGGGGATTTAAACAAGATGCCAGAAATCTACCAAGAGACAGCTGTAGTGCTGTACTGATGGTTTCTTTGAGCTGGGAAAAACATGTTGTTTCTTAGGAGGCTTGTCGTTTTGTTAAAGATCTGTCTAAAAGGGAGAGAGCCTTAGATGTATAGTTTGTTAGAACTATATCTGGGTACTATAAAAAATACTTGAGAATATTTAAGGAATAAAAAGGCTACGGTCTCAAAGTCTCTAGCATTACAAAATGCTAACTGCTGATTAGAGTTGGTTCAACCTGGAGAAGCTCAGCTGTTCATCTTCTAGTCACTGTCTTGTGTAATATAGAAATGATTGTACTAAACCCAAATAAATTTAAAAAGAATAGCATTTGTTTTTTTCTTTATTTTTTTTTTTTCCGAAACTGGTCTATATTCCGGTAATAATGTCTTGTTGGGGATTCTTTTAGCCTTACGGTATGTACAGTCTTCAAATTTTATTTCTAACATTAAAAAATGAAACCAAAAGACAAATGCTGTGAACAGATGATCTCTTAGGCTAATTATCTTTTTGTGCCTTAACAGGCTGATGCAGAGTCTCGTACACAACTATAGGATAAGTCTGTTTTTCAAATAGAGGAATTCATACTTGTCTTTTAAAAAAGTTACCTATGAGCTTGATGTAGATTCTTTTAAAAAGCAAAAATTTTTATTTAAATTAGTTGTACCCACTTTTATTTTTCTAGGCAAGTTGAAGTTACTTTTTTTAGTAATAATAGATTAGCTTTTCTGTTGTGTACTGTACCTACGAACTTGTATATGAAATGTCTTCTAAGAATTTCTAATACTATGACAATATTTATTGATTAGAGAGTCGTTGTTAATTTTTTCAGTAGAAATAAGTACTGAAGAAAACAGTGGTAGGACAAAGAAACCAGTGATAGAAGTAAATATAAAAATACCTAGTTTCTTTAGCAAATAAAATCAGTGTAAAAAAATGTATTCTATGACTTTTTCACTGAAAGTTCTAACATGGAAGCCACAGAGACATTTTCAGTGATCCTTCTGGGCATTGAATAATATTCTCTTCATTTGCCAAAATAGGATTAGTGAGTAGATCTCATTAGGAATTTGCACATGACTTTATTTTTATACAGATAAAAGGGAGCAAATTCCTCAAAGTAAATTGGGAAAATAGTATCTAAGAATCCAAGCAGGTAGAAAGCATTACTGCAAAGATATTTTTTCAGTTCCTGCCAGGCAAAATTAACTTGCCTTCTTTCTTAAAAGGAGGTAGGCTAAGCATCAGAATCAGAAAGCTTCTGGTAACTTAATGAATAAGATCCACAGCAAAAGATAATTAAATGTTGAAACAATTTAAAAATACTTTTTTTACTTGAGTACAGTCTTAACAAAAGAATATATATATAATGGTGGTAAAGATTGTTTTATTTTCATTGGCAGTTATGCATAAATCTATTTGTTGATAATCTTTTGTAGGAAGAAGTCTCATTGTTAAAAAAGATAGAAAACTAATGTTTTTGTTATGTACAAAGCTATTTGTAACGGCATCCTTTATTCTTCATGGCATATTTATGACCTGACCTTCTACCCCACCACACTTTAATCCTCAGAAATGTTGTATTTATAGTCGAGGTTTTCAAAAATAGAATTTCACAACATACATTAGTCATCACCTTCACCTTCTGCTTCCTTTGAAATTAATGCTACTTAAAGCACCCATTAAAATTGTTCCTGAACTCACTGAGTGCGTAAGGATTGTTGGATAATCTCCCTTTGTTACAACAAAAAATTTTCTTCATAGTGCTTAGAACATTTATGAGTATTTGTGAGCAAAGGATAAAAAAGAAAAAAATCTTATAGGCTCAAATAATTGCTTTACCATTGTATAATCTGGTGGTATTAAAGCTGTTTTGATATGCCATCTTGAAAACAAGATGAAGTTTTATAATTTGCATCTGATACTTGGAATACATGTATCTCTTGGAACATCAATGTCCTGTGTCATAGTCACAAGTTAATTTATAAAGTGATTGCAGTCATTAACACTAATGCCTATGTGTATGCAATTCTTAGACATATGAAGGACCAAAACAAGAAGGTTGCCAATCTGAAGCACAATCAGCAAATGGAGAAAAAGAAGAATGCACAGTTGTTGGAAGAAGTTCGTAGGCGAGAGGACAATATGACTGACAACTCTCAACATTTACAAGTGAGTTTATTTTTCAATTGTGTTTTAAAACCACCAAAGAAAGTACACTTCTGTTTCACTGTGGGTTTTCCAGGATGTGTAATGAATCTCTTCCCACAAAGAGCTGATGGCTCTCTCCTTTCCTACCAGAGGATGCACTACTGACTTCAGTTGCATCCATGAAATATTTACAATTTAGGATGACGAAAAACCAATAGAATTTTAAGCCCTTTCCTAACGACTGTACTTTACTTATTTAAATGCAAGTAAGCCAATATAGCTTTTTTGAGGAGAGTCAGAAAATAAAGATAATTATTCTTTCTGGATTCTATTTCTGTGCTATTCACAGCATTATATGCATAAGCCATAGTGAGGTTATGCATGTTCAACATGTTTGAATATCAAATAGTAGCCTGCTGTGATATTTTTTTTTTTGTACAGCACAGACATTTAGATATGTTGGTGATTAGCTCTGTAAAATACAATTCAGTTTTTCAAGAGCATTCAATTATATAACAGAAATTCTGCCATATTTTCCAGTGTGGAGATTGAATACAGCAACATTTGAGACCTATGAACCCCTTCATGTTCTATGTTTACCTTATATGTGTAAGGTACATATATACGTTACAAATACTAGGTGATAGCATCAAGTCTTGTTCTTATATGAATCTGTTAAGTAAGTGGTTGGCTTGTTAAAAGGCCAAACAAACTGTAAAGGTCCAGTCAATTATCCTCGATATACAAAGGAAATTTTTTTATAAGAGTTGTTTAAAAAAACCCTTGTCCTTCGCAGAGTTATTTAAAGAGCAAATATCTCTTGAAATGCGAGTTTTTCCTTTTAAAAATGATCAAGAGCACTGGTGGATACAGTTATTAATTTGATTGGCCTGTACAGCTTGTTATTTCAGGGTAATTTTATTTGAGGCTTTTGTACCTGGTCACTGAAACCTATTTCATGTATTTGGCATGAGATAAACATTTACTCCTGGAATATTTAACCACAAATGCCTGGGTGCAGGGATGGAACACACCTGCTTTCCGTAGGTCTGAGTATACAGCTACATTTGTGTGTGTTCTAGATTTGAACTTACGCGTGTGTTCAAAAGGATGCATTTAATGCAGTATGTAATAGGTAAATTTATTTTCTTTCCTTACTCCCAACCCAAGGGTACAATACTTTCCCCAGGAAGCAAAATATAAACTGAAGTTCTTCTAGTTGTGTGAACATATACATAATTCAAACTCGGATATGAGAGTTGACTAAATGAATAATCTGACAGAGTAGAATACTTGCTCACTCTTTATATTAAATTTAGGTTTACAGATAGTATATAGAGCTGATAAAATGTAACAGTAGTGATCTAAGGATTTAAGCGAGTCGGGATTTGTGGGGAGACACATGATGTGAGATATGTTATACTTGGAAAAAAAAGGTTTCTGGGAGTACTGTGCATCTACTAATTAAAAATAAAATTAATTTGTATTTCAATAAAAATTGGATTAACGTCTTAGTAACCCGTAAGACCTTTTTCTGTTACTGGTTATAATATCTTCTGCCATGTTTAGGAGAAACACCCTATGTTTATGGGCATTAATAACACATAGTTCTTGTGTCTATAGTGTTCTTGTTACATTTGAGAATGATGTATTGAGCTGTTAGTGTAAAGTATATCCTAAAATTCTCTGGCCTGATGTAATGATTGTATTTGTTGGCTAGCTGTGATAAGCTGGCTGTTGGCTAGCTGTGATAAGCTCAGCTGAGAATTGAAGAGCTATTAGACTAGTCAAGTTACAGTTACTCCAGCCAAGTTTCAATCCCTTTTGCAGAAGTACTGGAAAAGATGTTGTAAGAGAACTAGTATAATTGTCCATGGACCATTCAGGGAGTAATTCAGGGCAAACTGAAGCAATCAGTTGAAGTGCCATCCATTTTGTACAGCACAAGTAGGGGCTGAAGCTCTAACCATTCAGCTGTCCACTTGCTTTCTGGTAGGTTTGAAGAAGTTCAGAAGTCTGTAAGTTTCTTTGAAGCTTCAATGGTGTGTAATAGTTCCTGAGGCTTGTGACATCATGTATATTCGTGACACTTTTCACTATCTTTTCAGATAAAAGCCTCTCCAAGCTGGTTCATATCTTGGCATCAGTACTTGCAGGTCAAGTTTGAGTCTCTGATGGCTCCATCTCACATCACTCCAGGGCCACTGCTGTGATTGAGAGTGCCCTGGGATGCTTGGGGAGGGAATTCACTTTGGTCTCCCTCAGCTGTAATTGTGAGTGATGCTTCAGGTGTGGTTTTGGGGAGTTATTTGGATCACTCTAAAATTGGAAACATCAGGGAGCCAGATTTCGGATTAATTCTTGGGAATGAAGAATAGTTGTGAGGTTTTCTGCTTTTTCCTTCCACAAATCAAGGGCAGACCGTGTGCAAATCTTGCCAGACGTGATGGTCATACATTACATAAAGTATCACAGCAGGAGAGCTGGCCCTTGAATACTTAATCATGAAATTTTTTGAGAATGGTGTATCCAACATGCCTTCACTTTTTGCTCTTTTTTGTCTGTCTTAAAAAGATAAGCCTTTCTGAGAAATGCTGAGCTAAGAAATATACAGGTATCAGATCATAAAGTTGTGCATAATTCTTTAAAGCTATTTATAGGATCTTGAAATATTATAGATGTGAGATATGGTTATTTCCTGAGATGCATTTTCCTTGATTCTTATATGGAATATGTTTGTTCCAGTAACACTGTTACCTCAATAGAACTGGGAAAGAAAACAATTGCATAACATTGAGAACTTGAGTGGGTTTGCTTTTGATCCTGATTTCCAAACCTGCTGTAATAACAAAACCAGCAGTGTCTTTCTTTTCTCTAGAGTAAACAATAAGAATGTGCATGTAATAATATTCCTATAAGTCTCATCATGTAGTCTCAAAGGAAATTAAATGTACACTTTTGTCTGATTATACTTTCATAAATATAAGGTATCAATTTAGTAAGTGAATCGAACCTTACAGAATCATATCTGTACAAAGTCCACAAACACTTCTCTGTGGAAACTTTAAGCAAACTGCCGGATGCATACACATTACAAGAGAGGTGCAGGGATGAGCTTGAAAACAAAGTTAAAAAGTTTAATACCCTGTTCTGCTCTGATCTACACAGCTTCTGGGTGTTTCCACCTTTTCTTCTGGTTTACATGCTGGAAAAGTTTTTGACTCTTCTAATGTTTTAAATGTTTGGGTTGTTTGTCACAATTCTTTTTTAGGTAACTTGGATTTTCTTTGGGTGGAAATCCACATGCTGAAAAGAGGTGTTTCACTAAAAAATTGGTTTTGAGTGAAACAATGTGTAGTTCTCATTGATTTCAAATATCATATACAGGCAGCTTGATCAATGCTCTAAGCCTGAAGTACTGTGAAACAGATTGTGTACACACGTACATTTCCCAGGTGTAAATATCTTGCTTTTTAAACAGAGTCCAGCATGTCAGCCTTGGTTTGCTACTGGACGTACTGAGGCAAGGCAAGAATTCTAGTTTTTCAATAGTTTCATACTGGCTCGAAATTTAGTCTTGGGTAACAAATAAAACATGATCAGGAGAAAATCCTATCAAAAGAGAGAGAGAAACTAGGTAGTTAATATTACTGATGTCTGATTCATGCCATGTGAATATCTGTTATTACCTTACTTGCTAAAAATAGCTCCCAAGAGATTTCACAGCTAGTCAGCGTGAATCCTCAAACTTGGATTTGTTTTTTTCTTACTCTATGCTTCAGCCTGTAGTTTTTATCTCCATAATAGTTCTAGAAATACAAAATATACTGAAGACATAGCATATTGCCATGTTATGTCTATGTCTTCCAAAATAAAAGCATCAGGTATACCTGATGTTAATTTATTATGATTTTTCTCTTGATGCGGTGTATTTCCTACTGCATTGTCTCAAATACATTGAGACTGTAATGTTAATAAAAAGGGGAAGCTAGGGAATGAGATGGTGTCTTGCAAATAAAAATGAACAGTGTAATCAGTTCAGAGACAGAGGAAACATTTGTGATTGTTATGCAGACAGGCATTAGTGTATATAGCTGACATAAGGCAGGAGAGAATTCGTTGCATAAACACACAGCTTTGTATTTATTAGTGCTGAAATACATACGCAGTGAGAAAACTCAACCTTTTAAAAGGTTAAAAATGTGAGTTATTTTATTAAAAGTGAATTCTAGTTTAAGCATGCATCTGAAAGTGGACCTATACCTCTCTGGTAGGCTTTAATAATTCTGAGTGTTTAGGAGATTTTGTATGTCTTCAGAAGTTTGGTCATTTTGGGGTGGAAGATGGAGATAAGATTGGGATTTTACACCATTCCTCTCTGATTTCCACAATGTGCATGCATGAAATGCACATTGTGGTCTATCTCTGATGAGTAGAATTGCTCCCTACCTCTCATTCAGTGTTGGGCAAAGGATAGGGGGAAATAGGTGACGGCTCTTGATTTTCCTTTCTCGATATTATGAGCAATCACAACACACAGATGAGATATGATGGAGACAGACTTTTGGAAATATGTACAGAGGCAAGAGAAAGGATAAGATATGGCCTGCAATGCTTGCAAGGATCTTACCTCTTGCTAAGTTTTCTACTATCAGATACAAATATTTTGAAAGAAAAGATGTTTTTTTTGCAAGTCTGTGTAGTCACCTGCAACAAGTCCTTCAGTTTTTGTGCAAGTTAATGAAGAATCATAAGGCTTTGGAACCAGTTCAGTGACAAATTCAAAAGATGGGGTAAGCTACAGCTCGAATGAAGTTTAAAGCCCTTTAAAGCTCCCATGGTCTTGTTTGTGGAAATTACAGAATAGAAACTTTTTTTTTAAATGGTTGTAGTGAGTTAACTTATTTTACCGGAACTTTTCTACAATTAAAGCAGTAGTGTAATGATGCAGCTGACATTTAAGATTGAAGACTGTGATGGTCTTGTGTTGTAGATGTCCTTTTTAATATAGTAGCCCGTGC